CATATTCATAACAAAGGATTCTCTCGCTTGCTGTTGCATTTGGATTTTTTTGGGGCTCCAACATGGTTTAGGTACGCATTGGTTTTTCATGAAAAAAACCTTTTTAAAATGGCACGAACATGTACTTTCATTTTTGTTGCAATTGTTACCTAATGACAAGCTACATATGTAAAGATATATCGAAAGCTATTTTTTGGCGGGGGGGGGGGGGGTTGTTTTGATGTAATTTGCAATTTTTTTTTTTTTTTTGCGCCCTTGCTTGTAATGATCACTATGACCAGGTACATTGTTACCCTCACCACCCAAAAATGCCATCTTATACAGTGCGAAAATTAAAACTGAGATTTGTAAAACATGTAATAAAAATCCAAAATATATAATATGAATGATGCATATATTAAAATATATGGTATAAAAATTTGAATAAATTAAATATAGAAATGGTAAAACTATAATGAATTTCTCTCTCTCTCTCTCTCTCTCTCTCTCTCTCTCTCTCTCTTTATATATATATATATATATATATATATACATATATATAATTTTTTTTTTTTTTTTGAGAGAGAGAGAGCTATAAAATAATCAATTATGTCTTCTTGTCTGCAGTTTCTTCAAGATGAGTAAATATGGATTTTCTGTTCCTTCCCTGTCCAAATGCTCTCTTCCCACGAGGCAGATTTCTTCCTCCGGAATGAGCATTTCCACGTTCAGGGATTTTGGGGGTGCACAACGGGGGCTTTGTGGCGCGCCTGTGCGTGGGCGCAGAGGCAGTGAGGAGGAAGCCGGACCTTTTGGATGCGACACAAGGGTATAATTTGAATACCTGCCTGCTCCAGCCGAGCAGTGATCAATCACTTCTTTGTCAGCCGCCACTCCCCACTGGCTCTTATTCCACGATGCCTCCTCGACGTGTTTGTCTTGTTTTTTTTTTTTTTTTCTTTAACATTCATTAATTAATTTTCTCCCTGCGTCTCGCCTGGGCCTCTCCTGCCTCCCCACTGTTCCATCTGCTTTCCGAGCTTCTGTTGTGCCGTTTTAGTCATTTGCCGGACGGCCATCTCGTCGCCGTCGGGTCCCTCGCCCCGCGTTATCTCACCAGGTCTTCTTGTTCTGCCTATCTGGCTCACTGTCGCCTCGCCTGGGGCGATATCACAAAGAGAAATAGGGGCGGCGAGGAGCAGGTGATGGATAGGAAGCACGTGCGTTTAATCTGCAGGTGCTAAATAAATACATAAATAAATAAATACAAATACAGCCTCGTTGGCATGTTGTGCATTTAACCACACCGCAAAACCTCGTGTTACGAGCCGAATGCTAACACGTCATTTGAAAAAGGCCATTTTACGCGCAAGACAAAGTCTCGCATTGATCTCGCAATTTTTAAAACCAAAATGCGCAACCCCGACTGAGAGTCGTACACACGACAGGTGTTGTTGTCGTGCCCGCTTCTGTCCCGATTGCCGTTTTTGCATGGCGGGCGATTTAATTTGTGTGCACACATGGGCCGTGACCTTTGGGAAGGGGGGATGGAGAAGGCGCACGCCTTCTGCCTCCACCAGGTTTGGGGAAATCAACCCTAAGACCGGCACCGCCGCAGCGGTGGCTCTTGAAATATGAATGCTTTGAATTCAACACACTTTCTTTGCCATCTGGCCCCACGATCGGGGCTGCCTCCTTAACACACATGCGCGCTCATTATCACCTGGGCTTTGGAAAATGCCAGACAACAACATTCACATTGCCAAAGGGCAAAAAAAATAATAATAAAAAATACAACCAAGATTAAATATTGTACCTCAAAGTATAGAAAATAAGCCGTCGTAGCAAAGGGTTTCAAATAAAGTGCCCACATCGTTTTTTTTTCTGTTTGTTGCCATATGAACACCTCCAACATTTGTAATCTCCCACTAAGGTAAGCGTCGGCTCCCCTGTCTGGCAGCCAGCGCTAAAGAGTGTGGGAGGCATGCTCGGATGAGCCATTACTCTTTTTTTTCGAGGCTGCAATACATTTGCACTCTGCATCCGTCTCGACGGTCGGCGTGAATGAACTCCCGGTGATGTCCGGGCCAGTAAAAGGTTCTTCTATCTGCAAGTGATCATCCTTAAGGTGCCGCCGCGGCTCGCCGGAACGTTTTAACGATTTTCCCGCTCCCGGCGACTCGCTTCGCTTGCAAAGTTGTCAGAAAACAACGAGATGGGCCTTCCTCGGGATCGGTAAATTCTGTCCAAACGAGGCAAGCTGAAGGAGAACGTGGATGGCATTGACACAACTGTGTGAGTCAGACTGCTGTCCAAACCGCACAGACTTTGTCACGTGGCAAATGTGGGAGGAAGTCACAAGTTAAGTCTCAAGCGTTAACCTCCACTATTTCAAGCCGGTCCCAAGTTGCTGTGGCAACAATATCAAGCAAGTAATCACCGCCATCAACTCGAGCCATACAGTCTTTCCGAGCCATATATACTGTGTGTGTGTGTGTGTGTGTGTGTGTGTGTGTGTGTGTGTGTGTGTGTGTGTGTGTGTGTGTGTGTGTGTGTGTGTGTGTGT